GTTTAAGGTGGGTATGGGATAATCACATTGAAAAATCCATTTTTCTGAGAATTTTTCATATAAAAATACAACTTCTTAGAAATATTTTCCCAAAACCTCAGGTCATTTGAAGTAAAACTCATTAAGATAATGAGCTATGCACTGCGCCCCTTTTGAACCGGCCGAGAGCGGCAGGCAGGTAGCCGGAGCAGCTGCTTCCTTGCCCTTCAAATTTTATTGCCTTTGTAAATTGTTGTCCTTTGTAAGTGTCATGACAGAACGCGAGCCTACGTCAAAAAAATACGTAGCAATCGCTGACCTCGTGTCATCACCCCTTCGCTGTTGCCGCTGCTGGAAGCGCGTCTTTCATTTACGTACTTCAACATGAGACGTACATAGTTTTTGATTTTTTTCGCATTGACGCACCAAACCTAAAAATCTGAAAAAATTCATGAACAATTCTTGCGGCAATAAGAATCTATCATAAAAATATGGACAGTGTATCCGAACGATTTCTATGTGAACAAAAATATGTTTAGCACCTTCTTATTTTTCACGGTTACATTTTGTAACAAAAAAATCTGAAATAATTCTCAGATGTGTCCAGTTATGCTACGGACGTGTTGGAATTTTTTCAGATGAATAAACAACAAAGAAAAAAAGAGTGGATTGTCTGGGTTTCGAACACACGGAGCCTCGAAGACTCCGAGTCTCGAAGCGTCGAAGATTCCGAGCCTCGAGGAGTGAATTTAGAATTCGCTTGCCTGACAGTCAGCACGCACACACGCACGTACTGCGTCACTCGACACGCGCCCCTTCTTTTAGGAGATGCACGAAGCCGGCCGCGAGATGGAGCGCTTGTAGACGAATACCCTAGGCACGAGCATGGCAAATCTTATACGTATATTTTCAGCTCTCTTCGGCGTGTCCACTTCTGGAGGGGAGTAGTGCACAATCCCTCCTAAACTACATCTATTTCCCCTTAAATAATGGACATTGACACTAGGGTGCGGTAGTGAGCCGTGTCCACTTTCGAACAAAGAAATGAGCAATCTCCCTTTTCATCTCTGTGAGTACGCTACAGGTCAATCTGCTGCCAGATTGTCGTCATTTTGTGGTAACAGGGATTTGCACATTCAGTTGTCAATCTGCTGTCAGATCCTGCAGCAGACCTGCCGAAATCCTGTTATTGGCATATTTGGCTGACTGGGTTAAAGAAAGACAATTTTATCATTCTCTAAAGGATCTATCCATATTTTCGGAGTCTCTAACCTCAATTTGATTTGTGCTTTATCAAAATCTGTTGAGTGGAAGTTGAAATATGAGAACTCTTCTAAAATTCTCTGAGATAAACTGCATAGAAGATAAGCTTTTAACTATAATTTTAAATAGAATTTTAGTCGGAATTCATTTTTATCGCAATTAAATTCAAATACTGTTATACGTATTATTCTATCCTGTGTTATTGTTTTACTCTATTCGTCAGAATTTGATCTCCAAAGCTTGTTTTTATATTTGAGCAAGCGAGAAATATTCATACAGAAACATTCATGAATATTTAACATCTTCTTGTCTGCAATTAGGTCGGGAATTGTTTCGAGTAGCTGTACGATAGATAATTTATCTTATCGATGAGTAATTAGTTATTGATAACTTATCAATTACCACACAACTTCTTCAAAGATAGCTTTTTTGTACATCTTTTAATTTTTAGCATATACAACTTATCTCATATAAATGTTCAATATGTGTTGCTCATATACTCATACCAAACACGGATGAAAAGGTTGAAGAAGTTTCACTTTTTCTTATAATTTCAACTAATTTTCTTTACACATTATCTAGTAAATTAATCCATCTAATCACTGAAAAAACTGAGATCGTTTCGTTCGATTATAAAAAATTTATACAGTTTTAAAAGGGGTTGAGTCAGCTTTGCTCTTTACTGTATGATCTTATATTCTTATAACCAGACGTTTCTTAAATTAAATACCACTGGTTTCTTTGATCCAAGATCGAAGATTTGCCACGTTCGAATAAACACCAGGGTATTTCGGTTGCGCGCAGCCATAGCCCCAGGACACGATACCGTAGAGGACACCGTTGGATGCTAGCGGACCACCTGAGTCACCCTGGCATGAGTCCTTGCCGCCAGCAGTAACACCCGCGCATATCATTCTGTCTGTGATTGTATTCAGATATTTGTAAACGTTATTGCACTGCTGCCTGCTAACTATGGGAACAGTTACTCGCATCAAGTGTGGTGCAACCGATCCACCTTCCTGGAAATTAAAGTATCCACCTGAGTCACCCTGGCATGAGTCCTTGCCGCCAGCAGTAACACCCGCGCATATCATTCTGTCTGTGATTGTATTCAGATATTTGTAAACGTTATTGCACTGCTGCCTGCTAACTATGGGAACAGTTACTCGCATCAAGTGTGGTGCAACCGATCCACCTTCCTGGAAATTAAAGTATAAATTATGATATAAATTATAAAATAGAGTTCTGATATGAATTATTATTAATATGATGTGATGTGATTATACATTTATGTATGTACATTAGTTTTTCACTTATGTACATTAATTATCAAAATGGTATTAATTTCATTATTTATAACGAAATATATAAAACTCATAATAAAAAAAACTATAAAAATATAAATTTAGTCGAACCTTCGAGATTCATATAATGAATTAATCGGTTGCATACGAAATAAAATAAGCGATTAATTTACCTTGGTGGCTCCCCAACCAGTCACGTTTACCAAAGTTCCAGACGCAAGTTCTGTAGTTGCCAATTTTATAGGAGCCGCCGTACTATCGAGCTTAAACTTACCATCAATCTAAATAGGAAATTTAAGTAGTTCAATTCAATTATTATTTATTCCTCTGTCTTCTTTAAATATTAATTTATTCTATGTGAATATTATTCTAATGAAAATATTCTTCTATTCAAATAATGATGACACTATAATACCAATAAGTCGAAGGAGGTTTGCTCAGCACTATTATATATTCGATTACAATGAGAGTAAAAGTAGATAATACACGTCCCACGTACCTCGAGAAGGGCGATGTCATAATCGATAGTTCTCGAATTGTAACTGGGGTGTCGAATAATATTCTTTATGCTGTAAGCGTTACCCAAATTTTTGTCACTACTACCGGATCGCAGTGTGTACCGACTAGGGGCCGATCTATAATTAATGAAACATGAAAATGCGTGCGATTCCAAGAATTCCTTTTGTAACACAGCTGTGGTGTTTTGCTTTGGTGGAACTCAATCTCTGTGGTTGTTTCCCAAAATGTCAGAAAAGAGTAAAAAGATATATAATGAACTTCTTTCATACGGGGTGTAATTTATGAGAAAACTGAGTTTGAGAACTTGTTAAGTACGCGTGTACTTCGTTTGTCTGATCATAATATGACTATAATATTATCATTCAGGCATTCGATCATTCAAAAGATTAAACACACTGCCTTTAGTTCTTGCTGCATTAATTGGACGAGCAAGAATTTGCTTACCATATTATACTATACGATTTTTTCCACATGTGTGATTTACTAAAATAAATTCGTCGTGAGACATTAATTTAAACGAACCTACTATTCATTAAAATATCGTAACTGGAATCGTTTAAATTGACATCGCCAGAAGTAATTTGTAAATAAGTTTAAAGATCAACGCGCGCATGTATTATTACCCGACACAGTGTCCCGCGGTGATGGCCCATTTACTGCTAATGATCGAGGCACCGCAAATATGGCTGGTAGTTTGAAAACTCAATTGATACGGATGCTCACTGATGTCCGCTTGAGTTCCTCCGACGATCTGGGGATCCGGAAATGGCGGGTAAATTTTCAGCACGGAGCCTGCAATGATAATTTTTAAATTCCAAATGCACATTTCTATTTCATCATTTCATTCTCTCTTCTCATTATTTTATTGTTGTACATAAAAATACAGTGCATAACGTTGTCTATAACGTACGCATTGAAGTAATGATTCTCGACCCGTTTTTTGTTGTATTACTTTTCCCTACGGGGACAAGATTCGAAAGCAGTTACAAATCTATGCTTTATTTTTTCAATCCTGCGGAATTTATACATTTGTAGGAAAATTAGGTATGTAAAAAACGCAAAAAATACATGTCGTGGACAGAAGTGCATGAAGTACTAATAGCAAAATGCATGTCATGATGTTCAAAAAATTAAAGGACATTGTTATTAAATATAGACTTAGATTGATACCAGATTTTATTTTGTATAAATTCCACAGCCTACTGATGTGACATGAGCCTACATGATTTTTGTATTTCAAAATCAGAACAATTTTATTGTAGGTATTAAGAAATGATTACTGATGTAATTTTATTGTGCAGTTGAATGTAAATAAAGGTTGAAAATGTAAACATTATATAAGTAAGAATTTACGTGTTTTATTACTTTTTTATTTCTTTATTCAGTTTTTTACCTATATATAAAAGCATTGGAAGAAGCCGATTTTCATTTATTTCTTAATTTGAAAATGTGTATGTCTGTGCATACGTTTCGTTCCAAAAATATAATTAAAATATAAAAAAATATTAATGTAAAAAGAGTTCTTCAACTGATTTTTGGGCAGTTATAAAAAATCTAGTATTTAATCGAACTTGCTAACCGAGCATTAAAAAAATGAGATTACTTTAAATAGAACAGATTTATTAATATTTTCGGGCCTTGTCCTTTTAAGGGAAATTAACAGAATCAAAACCATAAAAATCATTGTCTCAAGCTATACATAAGAATATGTAGTACATGTCGATGTAATTATACTTTATCATCACGGTATTCAAGCACGGTATTTGAGCACTAATACTTTTTTAGAGTAAAAAATTTATTCAAATATCACCCATTTATAAAGATATAAAAAATTTCTAGATACTAAATTTAATACTAAATGGATATTTATAACTGAAGAAAGAAAAATGGACTGTACAAAACTCAATTAAAAGTCGTCTGATTAAAAAATATTTCTTGGATGTATGTATAAGTAACTTGGGGTCCAGATATGAGAACGAGGAATTCCTTTTGCTTATACTCACTGAGACACAGGCCAACGAGACCACAGAGAAGTAGAGCTCTTCGCAACATCTTGGGCAATATCGAAATCTTGGTTTGAGTACAGCTTTTATAACTGGGAAACTGCTTCAGTGAAAAATCCTTATCTGGCGGTGATACACCGCGTGTTGCAAACGCTAAATAGGCATTCGTTGTGTCTAAAGGGGAAGTGGGGAAAGGGGTTAGAACAGAAGAATAGGTTCCGCGGTTTTTGCAGATTGCGGTAATAAAAAATTCAGACGAAGTGTGGAAATGATTAAATTGTGAATGAGCTTGATAAGGGATTTTCATCAACCTCGCTTTTTTCACGCTGGATTTATCGTTTTTAAGAACTATTCCATGCTTTCTTTGTCTTGGAAATTATTTTCTCTATACTATACCCTGCTAGTGACTATTAGATAAAAGTCACAACTATAAAAACTTTCAGTACTAAACATCAAGCGATCGAGTTTTAGATTTTTTATTAACGTTTCCTTTTCTTGGGTATACCATCGTGACAAAGGAAACGGTAAGTTATTACCGTGGACTTAGGATACGTATCAAGATGTACAATATATGTATATTAAATGATACTCATTTTCTTAATTGACAATATAGAATAGCAAAGGTTACACATATAGCAATTACTAAACATAAAATTTTATGATGCGAAAGGGTAAAATTCATTTTGCGGAGTGTGGATGTTCCAGAAATGATACAGTTATTCTGTTAACATCGTTACATTGTGCTGTATTAGTCTGCAAGGCAGATGAATTATAGGACTTACTTCACGTTTTCTTTGATCGTATTAGCACTTGTAATTCAAGAAACTTGCGGAGAACTTGGTTAAAAAGTGGCTTACCCCTTATGTAATTATTTTGAGTTTTTATTATGTAGTGAAATCTTACACCCATATTGTTCATATTTTTGTAAACAATTTATATAAATTCGTAATGTATCATTAACAGTAGCTCGCATCTACTCGGCGATTAGAATTTCAATTAATTGAGCAAGTTGACTTACAGATTTTGTTTTAATATTCCGGCTAATCAATCTTTTCGAGATACTTATACTTTTTCAAGCTACTCGTACTTCTTTCAAGTACACTCGAATCATTTGAGTTATTCGATTTATCCGAAATCTCGGATCGTATAGAAAATCGAGTCTGCTCGATTTGGATGTCGAGCTATTTGAATATTCGGGTATTTCGGTAGTAACCTGCGATTATTATTATTATCCAATTATTTACCTACAAAGTATATATACATTCCATGTACAAAGTAAAACATGCTGCACCTCCTAACAACCTGAAAAATCAGTTGCGTAATCTCCGATTTTGTTCACTCCCAAGAAATCCCTATTATGATTGCATCTAATCAGTATTAGTCATACCATATTGCAGACGAACCGGCAATTCTTTTCATATGATAAAATGATGTCAACGGTCATTGTTATCGAGATTTTTATAAATAGAATTAAGACTCATATTGTTTGCCTACAAAAATTGTTTTTCACTTTAAAAACTCTTTGCTCGATTATTTTATGTATTTATGCTGAAGTTTTCGGTTTAAATTATATGCTACAATCTATGTTTTTACGCCTGACTTTTTAGATTCTACAAACGCATCGCTCGCCGTATGTTGCTAAGGACGACGCTCATTTATGTATGTTATATATGGGCCAAAGTACAATGAGTAATGATTTTCGACACGTTTTTTATTATTATCAATGTTCCTTACAGGAACAAGGTTTGAAAATGGTAATAACTCTGTGCTTCATGTTTTCAATCTTCGAATACTATTAGATCTTCTAAACTTGCCTAAAAAGAAATGGATAGATAAGAATGTAAATAAAGAATTAAAACTCTAATTTGCTTCCGTTGACTTAATAACTGGGCATTGAATTAATTTACATGTCTAATTACTTATTCATTATTACTTTTATAATAACTTTCCCTTATTGGAAGCCTTGGTTCGTGTTTTTCAAGAGCTTTCAAGTAATTCTGATACAAATCAACTTCGAAATTCCTACTACATTAAAAAAATTCCCTCTGTGGCGTCTGGCAACGGCCACGCTTTCTTTCTTCCTTCCCTTATCTATGTTTAGAATTCATTTCCGCTGGCCTACGTGAGCTATTGAAGGTTCGTTTCTTTTCCTTCTCTCTTAATCTTTACTATCGCTATCTCCTGTTTCTTTTCTTTTCGTCTCTGGTACGACTGTCGATTTTGTCAGCCTGGACAGTCGGGTCCTAACAGAGCACCGAGCCACACGAATAAAACGCAAGCTAAATATCACAAGTGAATTTATTAACCCATCTCCTCACCGAATTCCCACAAATTGGTGACCCCGTTTGTGATCGGAGGTGTGGTGTTTAAGGACTAGTCAGTGAGCAGTTAGTGGTATAGTTTATTGTTAAGTGTAGTGCGTAAGATATTTTAACCGAGACAATGCCCGATACACTCGGATCCGCTCCGGCAAGCGGCGCGCACGGGGTGAATCGTGTGGCGGTTCGTATACCGGATTTTTCGCCGAATGATCCAGAGCTGTGGTTCGGCATGGTTGAACGCAGTTTCGAAGCTAGTGGGGTGACGACCGAATCTACCAAATTCGGATACATCTTGGGTGCGCTTAGCCCTCAGTATGCGGCGGAAGTTCGCGACATTGTTATGGCCCCTCCACCAGAGCCGTATTCTAAGCTAAAGGCAGAGTTGATAAAACGCCTGAGCTCGTCCCAGGAGCAGAAAACACGGCGTCTCCTCGAGCACGAGGAAATCGGCGACAGGAAGCCTTCGCAGTTTCTACGCCACCTGCGAACTCTGGGAGGATCATCGGTGTCCGAAGAGATTCTGCGTACCTTGTGGATAGGTCGTTTGCCGGACAACATGCGGGTCATTTTGGCGACGCAGCGGGACGCCGACCTTGAGCGAGTGGCCGAATTGGCCGACGCCATTGCTGACACAATGGGACCGCGCGTACAGGTAGCGGAGGCGTCCGCACAACCCCCTGTACAGGCGCCGCCGACAGCGTGCGACATCGAGGCAATGCTGACAACGAAGATGACGCAGCTTGCCTTGTCTTTCCAGCAGGAATTGGCAGCTATTTGGCAGGAAATGTGCGACGGTTCACGCCGCGACGGCGGCCGACGGGGTTGGCGATACCGACCGCGAACGCGATCGCGTTCGCGTTCTCGACAACGCCGTTACGAACAGCGAGGTGGTAAATGTTTTTATCATTTTAAATTCGGAGCGAACGCACAGCGGTGCGAACCCCCGTGCAGTTGGACCACGCAGGGAAACGCGTCGGGCAGTCGTTGATGACGGCCAGCGAGCCCTGCCCGTCGTCGCGCCGTCTATTCGTAACCGATTTTGGAACAAAAACGCAGTTCTTGGTCGACACAGGAGCCGACCTCTGCGTTTTTCCCCGTGAGAAGACTCGCGGGTACCGCGAACGGACGTCTTACGCGTTGTACGCAGCCAACGGTGCGGAGATTGCCACGTACGGGACCATCACGATGAAGCTCGACCTTGGTTTACGCCGCGATTTCGTGTGGCGTTTTGTAGTGGCGGACGTGACAAAAGCTATTATTGGCGTTGACTTTCTCGCGTATTACGGATTATTAGTGGACGTTCGCAACTGCAGGTTGTTAGATGAGACGACGTCGTTAACGGTATCGGGACGTTCAGTGCGCGATC